AGTCAAGCTGGAGATTTTCCCTTGAGCGAGGGCAGATCACGTACCAATCACGGCCCTCGCGTTTCAAACTGTCTGAAATGAATCGCTACATCTGTAAGTACATCGGGTTTCATAGAGCCAAACATTTCAAGTGCTACTCAACTGGCTATAGATAAGCCAGTCCTTTATTAGTATATAAGTGCTCTGTTAGCAGTTCTTTGTTAGTAATTCTATCGCTCGAAGTGGAGTCGAAAGAGATGAGTTTTCAGTCTGCGCCGGAAGATGTGCAAGCTATCTGCTGTCCTGATTTCAATGGGGAGCTCATTCCACCATTTTGGAGCCAGGATAGCAAACCCACGTGTTTTTACTGACGGGAACTTGGGCCCCCCTCGCAATGCGGGTGCAGCGAGCCGTTTGGCTGATGCAGAGCGGAGTGCANAAGCTTTCTGCTGTCCTGATTTCAATGGGGAGTTCATTCCACCTTTTTGGAGCCAGGATAGCAAACCCACGTGTTTTTGCTGATGGGAACTTGGGTCCCCCTCGCAGTGCGGGTGCAGCGAGCCGTTTGGCTGATGCAGAGCGGAGTGCACGTGCTGGTGTATGATTCAGGGTTAATCATAAAAATACCTACTGGCTCTCAAACCGACACCCAAATAAAGCAGCATGGAAAGAAGAGTTTCCATTCCAATGTATTGGTGCTGAACAACTTGTCCGTCAAAATGTGAAATTCCCTGAGAAACGTCAAATACATTCAGTTTTTTTTAACTTAACAAAATGTATAGGAAGGTTATATGAAGAATGACATCATCAATGCCTTTAGATTTAATGTTTTGTTAGTTTTTTCCTGTTAAAAAAAGGGATTGGAGATCCCTAGTTTGTGTTAGGGTGAACGTTTTTTTTACAAGGGCTCTGCTATTCTTCACTAGGAGTTTTTGTAGCACAAGAAAAAGCACCTGGAAAAAGCAAGTAATGAGGAATGTAAATTGATAAACTGGGAACCTAGCCTACCTGTGCCAAGTGAGCCAAAGTAGAGAGCAATGGTATCGGCAAGGACGCCAGCAGTGGAAATGTTGAATCTCCTATGCTGTTACCCAGGAGCTTTCCCTGGCTGTCGTAGGCTGCTACTGCAAACACATACTTCTGATTTTGCTGCAGCCCCTCAACCCTCAGCACGCTCTCCCCAGATACTGATGGTACCTGAAATAACAGACTTAATATTATGGGCACACACTAGATCATAGAAGTTGAAAACATGTGTTGTGAAAGAGATGAATTGTACCCAATTTCCAGTTCCTGGCAGGCTGCAGTCCCCAAGGCGGACTTTCCAATTAGTGCCCTCAGCCGGACGTCCGCAGAGCTGATACCAGTAAACCTTGAGAGACACAAGAAGAAATGACACAGAGAAAATTATAAAAAAGTAAAGAGGAGGGGTTTGGGTACTGTTAAACTAACTAAATTCAATCTCACCTGTTCCTCTAAGTTATAAGATGCTGGGGCAAAGGTAAAGGAGAGGTCGGTGCGTGAGAGCAGGATGGGGGCAGGTGGAGGGTTTTCTTTCTTCTCCTTCGTTCCTTTATCTTTATTTTCAGCTGGAGTCTTACAGGTCGAGATATACAGTTTCCTTTCTTCCACTCCTGCTTTCTCTATCAAGGTGGAGGCCTCCTGTTAAGAACATGGAGAAGCTTGTTGAAATGTCATTACACTTGAAGAAAGCTCACCTCAATCACCAGTCATGAGTAAAAGAGGCTTGTATTGTAGTGGCTTTAACACTAGAACCGCCAACGGGTCAATTTTACCCGCAGCTGTTTATTGATTGTAGGCCTATGTAACTTTTTTTCAATAAAATATTAAAGTCTCCCAGTCCGTGACTTTTCCTGAAAGTGTGTTATGTAGCACCCTCTGTTGTTAAAAAATGCCCTTTATACCTATATCCGCCAGCGGGTGATATTTACATCATAGAAAATGCAGCGTAAACATGACATGTTGCTATAGCAACGCCTTTTGTCTACTGCGGTTCCTTATAGATAGAGAGATAGATTGAGAGATAGACAGATAGACCGTTATAGATAGATCGATAGATAGTTATAGATAGATAGAGAGAGAGATAGAGAGATTTGTACCTAAACAAAACAACACCAAGCGTTTAAATCAGCACTGGTAGCAATATTTTATACTTCATGCTATCTGCACAAACTATATCACATGAAAAGCTGAGAGTCCACACTCCACAGATTCTATTGGTATAAGTTTCATCCCTGTGCGATCAAAACTCACTGTTCTACATGATAAATAAAAGAACATTGTTGTACCTTGAAAATCAATAGCGGGTAAATTTGACCCTATGGCGGTTTTAGGTATACAGCGACCTCTGGCGGTTCTAGTGTTTTAATACACATTACTGTGTAGCATGTTGAACGTTCTGACTGTGTCTATGAAAGTGTGAACGAGGTTTGTAACCTCCAGCAGACTCTGGGTTTTCTGGCTGTCATTTGGCTCCATGTCGTTGTGCGCCAGCAAGGCTTTCTGGATCAGGAAAAGAGCTTTGGACCCCTTGTTCTTCTTGATCCGATTCAACAGTTCAGACTCTTCAACTAGATACAAGCAACAAAGCACCAAGACAAACCATAAGCCATATTAAAACCCCATTGTTTGTGTCTACAAGTAGGCATGTTTTATTGGAAAGGCTAATTCTTTCTCAAAAAACACAAACAAGTAAAGTGAAACTGACCTGCATTCAGCTGCAGTAACTTCAGAGAAGCCCTGTGGTGAATGATGTCCAGTTCTAGATGAAGGTCTGAGGCCAGCAGGAACACACGTTTGGACTG